AAAAGTAAGCCAGCTCTAGATTATCTACTTTCTTTTTCTGTCATTTTATGGTGCAATTGTACAGGTGACTCTTCGTTTATGTGTTATTCATTATTTTTCGGCTTACGGAAGATCACGTACATTATATTGTGATTGTGTGATAAAAGAGTAATGCATTTCTAACTTCAAATATAACAATGCCATATGTATAAGAAATGCTGGGAAAAATAACATGTCAAACATACATTGTTATATTACCCTCTACTTATCATTTATCATTTTTAGCATAGCATTCTACCTTATCATGGTAATTTAAATGTTAAATTATGAAAAGAAATATTTCTTGCATTTTGTTGTTAATGTCTCCCAGTTGATACCATACGCAAAAGAATGCTCTACGTACGAACAGTTTCTTAAGCGAGGCAAGCTATTGAAAAATAAGTTGATGAAACAAGAATATCAAATTGTTGCGTTTAAAGTCTACATTTCCCAATTCCTATGATCGATACACTGGACTTGTCAGTAAATACGATCTATCATTCAGTCCAATGTTGACTGATGTTTTTCATACAAATTGTTAGGCCATTATTTTCACACTGAATTGTCTACTGATTTTTCCGTATTTCCGATCATGAAAATGTGCACATGGCAGGCATGATTGGTCGACAGGGAATGCTTACTCCTCTGTGGCACCTTATCCCACCTCTGATGTTTTTAGACGTCCGTGTTAGCTCTGCTCCAAATTTATATTGTTTCAATAGACTTTTGAGCCTGATTACTGTTCGCAAACTTCATATTTCATTCATCGAAGAATAACATGATGTAAAGGAACCCATACAAAAAATGGTTTTAATTCCATGGACAATGCACCATTAGTGTATGTCAGGCTTGGAGTAATGCTGTATGTAATGGTAATGCATCGCAATGCATTACTTGTACGCGAAGTAATGCTAGTAATGTGTAATGCAAAAATATCTGCATAACATTTAATGTAATACATTACTTTCCCAAACGTAGAGTAATTCTGGCATTACACAGCAAAAAAATGCTTTTTTTGTATATACCCATTAATTAAAAATAAAAATGGACACAGAAATTATTGTTATGATTAAATTTAGATTATTTTTTTAAATAATAGAAATGAAAAAAAAACATATTAACCTATTGAAATAAACTATGTGTACTATTTATAATTGATAGTGACAACTAGGTTACACATATCTAATTTCACACAAAATTGACATTATTAATTTATAATTAAATACCTATAATCCTGATCAAAAACCTAAATAAGCAAATCACAACTCCTGCTTGTGTTATTGGAATGATGTGATATTGAGCACTTGAAGGAGAGATGCTGAAATTGCACAGTTTAAATTTGAAATACCAATACAGAAAAGTCTCATTATTTTATAGTTATTTAATTTAAATAATTAATACATATCAATTGGAAAAGTTTAGCTATATTATAAAAGAGTTATTGAACTTATATTGGTGAATATATACTTAAATACACTTTATCCTTTATAATAGTATTCTGTGAAAAGAAATATATTGTTGGCAATTGAAAATCTGAACTTCCTATGAATAATCAAAAGATACTTCAGTAATTTACAGTGTAATAAATAAAAGTACTTGAAATCAAATTTGAATCAACAAGTTCACATTTGAAGCGTTGGGGTTACAAAATAGTTGCAAAAATTTTGTGATTTATATTTGAAAACCTTAAAGTAATGATAATGGTAATGCATTAATTTCTTAAAGTAATGGTAATTCAAAACATTACTTAAATAAATGAGAGTAAGTGTAATGGTAAATTAATTTCAAATTCTTGAAATAATGGTAATGTGACATTACTTCACAATGTTATATGCTCCAAGCTCGTTGTATGTCTTATTAACATATATTATCCAATACGTTTATCCATGAACCTTACTGCGATATCTTTCAAAGATTTCCTTTCTGTGTTAAATTCGGTTATTTGATTTTTAAGCTATCCGTGTTTTTAAAAGACTGCTACCAATGCAATCCTCCTTAACAATGATAAGATTCCTGTAAATTGTGCTAATTTTAAAACTATGTTATAATTGCATTTACAATAAAATTTATAAAGAACTCACAGAATATAAAATAAACAACAGAATAGACATGATACTTGCTTTGTTAATCATAATTTACCTTTCTAATCTCAACCCCTCCCCTTTCAAATTTCAATGGGTTTTTTTTAATATTAAACAGCTTGATCTGCCCTGTTTTGGTTTTTTCGTTAAAAAATTTTCTTTTATCTACAAAAAAAGATAACAATAAAAAATATCGCAAGAATCTTAAATGTAATTTATGCAGTCACCCTCTTTCTTAAGATTTGTTATTTACATTTGCGATCCAAAAGATTTTTCACATCACAAAGCAAATAAAGAAGCGAACTAGTGTTGAGGTTTGTTATTGCAATGCATTTGTTAGGTAATTCCTTGTTATGCGTCAAAACACATGCATATAAACATAATACAGACAACAGGACTAACAGATAATAGCCTAGCATGTGATCTACTACTACGGTTTATATAATTTACTGTATGATTAACCTCATTTCTTCTGCACGTTGGCACATTTTCTTTACAATGTCTTGGTTATATCATATTGTGGTAAAAGTACTGAAGGGACTAATTTGGCATTGCGTTTTTTACCTAATTATGGATTCAAACCGCAAATGCACATAGTGATTTTTCATCTGATATAGCATGTTTCTTTGTTAAAATTTAAGGAGTATTCACTACTTAAACCTTATTCAGATCGTTTACCAAACAATGTAATTTTTTTATTAGGAAAGTATCATCAATATAGTTTTTGGACAGCATCGAAAAAACTTCACTTTTATCTATCCCACATTCACTTTATGTACCTTCAATTTGGTCATTTTTAGCTCTTTAGAGCATTCAAATTATTTTTTACATCAGTATTTATTTCGGGAAAAAAAACGAAGTAATTTATTCATTGAATAAAAGACTTTTTCAGCATATTTGCTATGGCATTTGACGTTAAAGACAAAACTGGCTTCCATATAAGAAAATAAAGAAAAAATTAATCTCAAATATCATTGATCTTTTTTAAAATGCACTTACAAATTCGCTAAGAATGAAGAAAAAATATCTTTGAGAAAAATTGCGTAAATTACGTTTGTCTTCCAGTTGCAAATTTCTCCATCTAGAAAAACTCTCAAATAAAGGGAATATTTTACTGATATTATATAACCAGTGGTCTTAAAAAAATTTACATTCTTTCATAAATGCACGTGCAATGCATTGCATTGTGGGGGCGTGTAAGTATGTCGCTGCAAAGGCAAAACGTCTCCATCATACCACTTTTATAAGTTATTTATCTTCAGTTTATATTCATTCTACTACCGGTGGGGGTGGGATCGAATACCACCATCTGTGTCAGGAAATGTTGACAGCGGGAATTCGCTTGGGTCTTTGATAAAGGAAAGCTGTTTATTTCTCGGGAAATAAATACAAAGACGGTCTTGCCATGGAAAGTGGCACGAGAAAAAAATTTATGATTCTAGGGATGTGTAAAGACATACACGGCTATGTTAAACATGAGAAGAATTACAGTTATCCTCTATCTATAAACTTGATACCTTCTACAATTACTTTGTGTCTTTTACATTTTTCCTATATTATTGTTTCCTTTGAAGTCAAACAAAACAACCATTGATTTTAAATTGTGTATATTTGTCTGTCTGTTTGATAATTTAAAAATTTAAATCAAAAATTTACTTCAATGTCGATCGTCTTACTTATTGTTTACTGTTGAGTTTAGAATTGTGCAAATTGATAATACACACACAACTTGAACATAGCGAAAATCTATATTTCTGTTTTATTTTGAATAATATTGAGTATGCAAAGAAACATGTGTAAATAATGTGTCTGGAAATATCTATGTTACTACTTGTTTTAATATTATTGCAAATAATATTCAAGATACAAGAGTATCCGCGGTCACATGGATATGACGTGCCTGACAAAGCCTAAAACACAACAAACGAAAAACGACATGCATGATCTTGATGTTGATTTAAAAGATGTACAATAACAGGTGTTGACATTCGACCATATTGACCATTGACCATGCTGACCAAACTGTCCAAATACCATGAACAGGTTATACCATTTGACATTACATGAAGTAAACCAAAGCGGCAGACAGACTATTTTATATGACATTTTTCGGGAACATTGTAACCTAGGCGCACTAAATCATGTAGGCTTATTAGCACATGATGAATTTGTTAGTGCTGACGATCTATTGAAAGAAGTTTGTCAAAATATTTTTTTTTGTTTCTGCAAATCTGTTATCTATTATTCAGTTGAATCTCTGAAGAAAAAAGTGGTACTTAAGTCATTGAAGATGGTACTGATAATCAGTAACTTTAAAACAGATCTTTTTCAATATAAATAAAAACATTCAGCTGCATCAATTTTCACCATTATCATAAAAATGTTAAGTGACTTTTAATTGCATATTTAAAGTTATGGAACAAAATGGGATAATGTGGATAATTAATAATGCTTGAAAAAATATACTTTTCAATGCGCATTGATATATTTATCATATATACATTATAATTCGCACTTATCCTTACTGAATACGATTATCCTGCTATGGATATAAGATTTTATGCTGGATTAATACTTGGGTTTTTTTTTCAATATTAATACTTATGTATCATGGCATTTTTTTATTATCTTAATGTAATCTCTATTTAAATGTAAAGAACAATGCTACATTGCGGTGAATACTCTAAAAGGAACATTGACTTCCTTGTCCATAACGCCATACTATATTAAAACAAGTATACAAATACGAAAATAATGAGCAACTACAATATTGCAACAAATATACAAATGTAAACTAGATGTGGCAGGATGCGCGCGCATTTTGGACATTCATTATTGCTTCCCGGTGTGATATATATATAAATAGGGGAGAAGATGTGGCCTGATAGTCCCTGGTTTTGGTGTTTGGTGCTTATTCCATCTGAACATTTCTCTTCATTATGGGGATCTTAGTGCGTCTTTTGATTCTGAGCAGCGTAGCAGGTAAATCATTAGGATATATATCAATTTTCAATTTTTTCTCTTCATTCGCTTATTCAAATTTAATATTATATGATCTAAGGGAGAAAAAAAAAGATTAACAAATATTCAAAAATCATTTAGCACAATTTATAAAATTTTCTTTTAAGATTACAAAAATTGTCAGTCTTTCAAAAATATTTCATACTTTTCTTAATAATTTCATCGCGAAGAATGCTTACTTTTTAGCATCATTTCCTTCCATGTAAGGTACACTTCTTTTCTTTAAATAATTGGTTAAGATTTGCAGATAGAAATATAATATTCTTTGTAATTTTATGAGATTAATTGGTTTTTGATTAAAATAAAGGGATCTATTTTTTTATTATATACCTTTCAGCTCTTACGTCATCAGTTTGTGAGTATATATTCACTACATACTGTATCTAAAGGTGTATATAGACATTTTATTCAACTTGTATTGTACTTTAATGTATTTTTCATATCTTGGTCTTAAGTTCGATGATAAAAAGTAATGATATTTTCATGTAAAGAATTGTATGTTTAATCAATATATCTTTGGTCAATATAAGGTTACCGGTTGGTTAGTTAGTTCAATGTCATTATTGTCAAACATTTCAACAGATCTTCAAGAAACGCATTGGATATATAGATTATGCAATTATATTAAATAATCTCTATTCAAGCAAACAATATCTTTAAACTAGGATGATCAGTTCAGAAATATTAACAATGATGAATCAAATAATGTAGCATTAAGACCAACCCTTTTTAAGTGGATTGTTAAATGTTTTGTTCTAAAACTTTGTAAAAGATTTTTCCTTAATAGTAAATTTGGTAAGATAAAAATATTATTTCTAATTTTGGTCAACATATCATATGCCTCGTAAACCATGATATGGGATATAATTTGGGGCAATAGTTCTTTAAGCCAACAATTCAAAAGTAAGTAAAATCAGTGTATTACAATTTATGACAAATATTCATTATTTCTCTCATCGGTTTACATGTTAGGGATGATAAGAAATCTTCTGTGTTTTTATATTAATTGTTTGATATTGACTTTTTACCATAGGTAGTTTTTTTTTTCATTTATTTATTTATTAATTATTCATTGGACGAGTTCTACCATTAAAGACTGTGTTTAAATAAACAAGCATAATATTGTAAATCCATCTCATTTATTACTATAATCAAGTAATGAAAAAATCTCAATTAGAGTTGTCGCATACAGGATCAACCTAAATAATTTTGTCTGCAACGACATAAACCCCTAACCATTGATTATCGTTAACCATACCTCTTATTGTTTGTTCCTTGTTTTGTTTGATATTCATGTTCTCAGTTACAACACTATTTTGTTCAAATAGTATATGACATTAGGCATCTATGTAATGGTAGATGGATGCATACAAAAACACATTTCCGGAAGATTTTTTGTTTGTTCCCTGTCAGGAAAAGACATAAACATGATATCTACACATGTAAAACAAAAAATGATGACGTGGAAACCCTGCGTTCCGGTCACTGATGACTTATATTAGTATGAATAATTTATAACTCCTTTGAAGAAGCACAAATGACTACGATTTATGTTATATAACGATATTCAAGTCGAAAAAAATTGGATTCAATACAGGTTATTTGAAAAAAAAATACATGGTTACGGTTTTGAGATATATTTCTAAACTGCGAAAAAAGAATGTTTGCAATTATTATCTTTATATGTGAAAAAAAATTGTTTCACTTATTTTCTTTCTTCTGGTACTTGTAAATTACCGTGATATTGTTATAAAATATATATATTTTTTTATTTAAACAGATTCAAACAATGTTGAATGGGAATTTTAATATAAAAAAGCGGTATTATTAGAAATTTTCTCATTGATTGTTTAGAAAATACTTTTCAGATTCAATGAAGTTGTGAAATTTTACTGTTTTTGTCATTAATAAATTTGGAAATCTTAATTTAAAGAAACGCTTAACATATAAAGTAAATCATGAATAAGCAGTTAAAAACAACAGAATAAGAAAACTCAAATTCTTATAAACATTTTAAACACTTGAACTGTTTTATCAGTATGAGGCAACAAGTTATTCTTTAACATATACAAAAAGTTTACATAGAAAGGTAGTATCAGTGTCTATAAATAGATTTATCATCTCGCGAGAATTTGTTGATTCTTACTGTTTTCATCTTTTGATGATCTTTGTTTCGACAAAAATGGTATTAAAAAAAAACTCGGAGTTTATAAATGTTAACATTTCTTTCTCTTTTAGTTTGCTAATCAAATGCATAAATAAAAATAATTTGATTATTTTCATTAGTTAAAAATTTCATTGAAAAAGGTTTTTTTTTTAAACTAAAATTTGTCCAATTTTCTAATAAAAAAGAGCCCTGTAGTTATTTTCTCATTTTAAGAATAACATATATGATCATTCAGATAAAGTTAAGTAATTAACGAAATTCAACACAAAAATACGCTTTTTCTTTTTTTTTTTCCAATTAGAAAATGTTTTAATATATATTTTAAAAACATTTAGTTGTATCTTTTTGCAGTTCTGCGCGTGATGCCAAGGTCACAATGTGAGTATTAGCTTTCTCGTGTATGTGTGTCTGTCTACGTGTTTTTTTTTGGGGGGGGTGGGGGGTGGAGAAGATTATATAAAATCTTGAAAAAACAATACAAATCTGTGAACAGGACATAAACACGGACTCTGCAAATTCCAGAGGTATATTTTACTGTGTGAAACGGTTTCTGTCCCAATAATTTTCTATAAAAAATTCTTTCCTCTTTCAATTTTAAAATTTTCGACAAAATAGCTCTTATTTTTGAGTTCACTTAGGTTATTTGCAATTAACAATAGCCGTTTGCGACACTCATGAACATTTTACAAAATGCTGTCAATAAATGTTTCCACATACACTGTGTCACGTAAGTTTACTATTTAAATGTTGAAAGAAGACATGTCTATGTTTGCAATATAATATAATTCAGCACAGTTATTTACGATTTATGTAAATTTATGGGTAAAACACATATAAATTGAACAAACATAAACCAGTACAATAAAATTGAAAAACACACTTATATAATCCATACTCAAGAGCATGCTTCGAGTACGGTCATTTTTTAAACTGAGACAGGCTACTGACAGATAAGTTGATGTTGAAAGGAAATCAACAACAAATTTGTATTGTTTATAGACTTTTTAGAACGATAACTTTACGTTATTTTCACCTTTTTCATTATTTTCCTTTTACAGCAAGTAGGATATTTTCCAGAAGATCAAGACCACAGTTCAGCTTTGGAGCTTTTTCATCGAGTAAGTATCTTTGTTGACACAAAAATTACAAAACTGATAGGGAATGATTTTTTATGTCATCTTATCAATCAGCAAAATTGCATTTTTATTCATTTTGTTATTTACAAAAATGTTTAAAAATTACTGAATATAGCGAATATTTATTATATTGTTTTCTTCACAAAGCTACTCATTTACTTTATTACAAATACTAGAACAACATAAAGCAATCACAATTTTTTTCAACTAATTTGAAATTAGTTATTAGTTTCCTTTCGAACATAATGTCATGATTTTAGCATTACTTACTTTCACCAATGTATGTTCTTAGATATAATTCACGACGATGACCAACAATGACTAACATGCACATACGCTTCTGTTTTGTTTTGCACCAAAACCTAATAACGTTGGTAAATGGTGCATTTATGCACTTAATAAGAACTAAGATTGGCGTCTTTTACTAACTTTTCTGGTTATGTCCCTTGTTTCTAAATATAGTATCTGATGCAGACACCGTGAACCTTGGAGGAAGATCTCTGGGACTCCAGAACGGATTTGGATGTACGTTCATTTTCTTCTTTTGAATATGCAGTTACCCTTTTTTTATTCAATAAAATAATCTAATTATACCAAAAAGTTGATTATTACTCACTTTCTATTTTCAATTTTCAAATTCCCACATTTTTTTCCCAAAAAAATAACAAATAGGTACAGAATCTGACTATCGTGTTATGAATTCAAGCCTTCATTTAAACAAAAATCCATATCTTTTTATTACAGCATCCGGTAGAGGGTATTTAATGTTAAGTAAGTATGATTTTCTTGTTTTTGAATGAAAATATCAAAGCTATCAAAGTTTTTAGAGTATTTATGACATTATATGTAATATAAACGTTTCAAAAAATACAAAATGTCTATCATTTGAAAATAAATCGCATTGTTATTATTAATTAACTTAAAAAATTATATAATTAATTAACTAGAGGATAACTTATTTTTCAATTGTTTCAGATGGTGACACACCCGATGCTTGTAAGTTTTTATGATTCTAATTATATTTTTAAAAATTTCAACCAATATACTAAAACACATACAATAAAACAATTTAAGTGAATGACAAGGCCGGCTGAAATAGCTTTTCCAAATATGTAATTTGTCACAATCAATATCTTCCAATTAGAGAGTAAAAAAAAAATACGTTGTAAACAATTCACAGAATCAGATTTTGCTATAAACTTTCTTTATAGGGAATATCTTGACAAATGTATAAAAACAAATACACCGGTACATTTATTTGAATACATCAAATCTGAAATAATTTCTTCAAATATGTGATATGAGTCTACATCATTAACCTCCTCTTATTCATTCTCTTTTTCAGTCAATCCATATGATTTGGGTAAGCTCCTCTAAAGCTTTTTTATATACTGTGGAACCTCATTATCTCGAACTACGATATCTAGGATAAAATGTATGTGTCGAAATACGTTTAAAGTCCAAAAAATTCATTTTTATTTTAAATGAAATTTACTCTATATAATTTGAACCCTCGGCTATCTCGAAGTTATTTTTCTTTTTCAATGAGTTAAAGAAAAGGATATCTGGCTGTACCGTATTGTATGTACATTTTCAACGTTCAAAATCTCTTATTACATAAACATAAATACATCATTGGTTTATCTCTCATTTTATCATTTAACTTTTTGCAGGGGATGCACCAGATATTTGTAAGTATTCATTAATTATATTCTATTAATTAATCTATTAATCAATATTAATTAATGTCATCCAAATGATCACCTACGATTAACAATAACAGAGCAACAAATAAATACTTGAGTATATAAATCTATTTTGTATGTTATGGTCTAATTTCGAAGGGACCAGACTTCTGGAATGGTTTTGACTTTTTGAATTCAAATCTTTTCATGTATATTTCAGATCCAATCATTAGCGGATCAAGCTTAAATTCCAGAGGTCTAGGCGGTTATCAGCTTATGTATGGTAAGATTCCTATTAAATAGTTGACCTGTCTACAAGTATTAATCATCAATGTGTACATTTGTATAAAATCTTGGAAAATTCCTATTGAAAAGAGTTTTTCCCCTTATCTCTTCTCAACTTTTAAAGTTATGAATTCAGGAATATAGATACACTGTATATTTTGTTAGTAGTCATTGATTTTAACACAACAGACTCCACAATATTGAAAAAAAAATAATGTGACATGAAATTATGAAAAAGAATTCAATAGAATTGAAAAAAATCAAGATCTTAAAAATTAATGTATTGAAATGACATTTCATTTTTTTTTTTTACAGATCCTGATAATACATGTAAGTATATAGAGAAAAAATGACAAGTGTAAGAACATTAAAATCATAGTTCTTGACGAATGTAAATGAAAATGAATATTAACAAAGTTTATGTGGGAGGTGAACATTGTTAATGTTATCAAAATGACCGTATTGGAAAAAAAAGACGAAAAATTTGTTCAAAATTTACAAAAAGATGGCATTTTGTAGTGTGCCCCGTATTAACTTAGTTAACATTCACAACATTCGCAATCACAACATTCGCAATTGAAAGTACGAGAAAAATATGTTCTACGATATTTTCATCAAAATTGTAAATGATAGAAAATAGATAGTTTCGCTCATAGCAAACATATTTTTCTAAACGTAATAAATTATATGAGATAAGTTAAAAATACGTTTTAAATTTACAAAGAATGAGGGCGTAAATTCACTATAAGGAAGTTCGCCTTAAACCTATCTAACAGTATTGAGGGACAAAAGTTCAGGTAAAGGAATATATTAGTAGGAAGGATATTCTATTCAGTTCTTTTTATGGGCTTGTTTATCACAAATATTAATAAGTTACCAATTTCTCTCTATTGATTAATGTAAGGGAAATGTGTCACGAGGTGGCAATAAAATGACCATTTATGCCTCGCGTTGGAGAAGATTACGGGAAATTAGCGGTTAGTTACACTTGTACACGCCAAAAAACAAACGAACCGCGACCTAGTTAGAGTGTGATGCTTATATAAAAAGGGCAACAACTGCAAGAAATAGATTAATAAAATATATTTAGAACTTGACCACAAATCACTTTTTTTATATCTCGTAAGGAAGGATATAGTTCTTTTTTCAATAAATTATGTTAAGGGTTTCTTATATGTCAATTCAACCATATAAACTGAACTGACTTTTTTTTAAATAAAATGTTCATGCTTTCCTTTTATAATTTATTACAGATGTTTTTGGTTAAAAGGTGCAATAAAGGTAGGTATTGACACGCAGATTACTAAGTTCATTGAAGATTAAAATAAAACTGAAAAATTCAGTCACTTTATTAATACATTGAAAGAAACATAAATTTCCTGCTTTATAAAATATAATTTTAGCTTTTTAGTTTAAAAAAAACAGGAAGAAACGTCATAATATTTGATTTTATTTGCAGATATTTCCCATGAACAATATTAAGCTACAAACTATCTGGAATCCCATCTTTAAAATCAATCAGCTATACTGATTGCTGGAAATCTCGAAGAATTTATAACTTTTGTGTTAAATTTTTTTTAACTATAAGAACTGGTTACCTTTGTGATGATTTCGCTATTTATATAAATAATTCTTTATGATTTGTGTTATATGGAAGTATTAACAGGAAATGTCTCTTTTACAAAAACAAATCCTTTTTCATTTAGGATCAATCTTCAAAAATCTTTAATCTTTGATCCATTATCATAATGCTGAAAAAAGAAAAAGAAAAGACATTTTGTTGGTATTTCACAAAACCAGATTTAATAAAGTTTGAAAAAGGAAAAAGAAAATTCAAAGATAACTTTTGATAATCATTTCATGTACAATAAAAATACATTTTAAAAACTGTGTTTTAAATTTTGCCTTCTAATGTCTTAGCGATTGTAGTAAAGCTAATAAGTTTAATAAATAATGCTAGATCATGTTTTTAAAAATTGTATAACATCAAACCTTTAATAATGCTGGGATTATAATAATAAATTATTTGACTTTCCTAATAATTAATATTAAAACAACTTGCTTTCAAAATTGCTTATCGTCAAAGGTTTTAGGCACCGGATTTACGTTCACATGCCTTTTACTTAATGGGTATTTTTCCTTTTTTTTAACATTAAGAATCTTTGTTTAACAGACCTTGGCAAAATTTGTATATTTGTATTTATTGATTTTTTCGATCTATTAGATTATAAATCATTTTTCAGTGCATGACGCAATTTGACTTTTTTTTTTTGTAGACAAGTTTTCATTATAACGATGCTTGCAATGAATATGGTGAACTACATCGTAATATGTGTGTCTTTTTGTTCTTTATTTAATTTATTGTACGTATGTGTGTATGTGTACAAACAAACAACAAAAATAAATTTTTATTCATTAACTATATCTTTTCTATTGATATTCTTTCTATTTGTTTTTTTTTTGATTTTTTATGAGCTACTTCAAATTTAAACGTTTGATTTACGCGGGTTGTTTCTAACGCTAGTGGACAATGACTTTTTTTTTCAAACTTATTGGTCCTTGATATATTAAGTGTACACCAAAATAATTGTTCTAAAAAATCCAAGTCAGAATAGTTTGAATTTTATCTTTTGAACTAAATATTTTTGTAAAAATAATATTTAAAGATAATTCAGCGTTAAAATGCTATTAACTTTGAAATAAAGTTTCGAGTAAAAAAAAATACCATTTTCTTAAAAAAATGAATCATACTTTAATCAAAATTAAATGTGTCACAAATAAAGCTGTTGTCATCATTTTTCGAATATCTAAGTATCGCACAGATAAAGAAAATATTAAGGAAAAAAACACGCAAGAAATATGTTTCTCAAATTTACTGAAAAAGCGACGTAGGTCTTCTAAATGAAACAGCATCCAACTATCAAAGTATATTTTGATATGGTTGAAACGACATCTGAGTCCAAAAAAATTATAACTAGTATGCAAAGCTCTGCAAATTATTGAAATATATTTAGTTCATAGGATTGGATATGGTTTATATGATTTCTCAAAAGTGTATACAATTTTCGGAAATATTGCAAGAAGTGGAAAACCACTGTCCACTGTCATTTGATGAAAATAGGATATTCATATTCATGTTATTGTTATAAATCTGGTCGAAGTCGGACTGGACTGTGCAGTCTGTGTATACACCTGGTTAGACCGGTGAAGCTCGTAAGGTTGGAATTTTAAAAAAAGATTAATTATGGTCCATGGTAGGTCAGTCAGTAGAGCGCTCGCTCCGTGATTGGAAGGTCGTGAGTTCGAATCCCGGTCGCGACTGACCTAAGTCGATAAAAAATATGGTAGCAACTCGTCATTCTCCAAGAGCCTGGCAATTTGAACTGAAAGTTGCGGGTCCTTCGGATGAGACCTTAAAAGCCGAGGCACTGTGTCATGGCAGGCGTTGGCACGATAAAGAACTCTCACTGCTTAATGACCCTGAGTGCCAGGTAAAGGTCTAAATTTGTAGCCTCTCAAAGGTATGTGGTGACGTCTCTCTATAAGTGAAAAATTCTCGAACGGGACTTAAAACAACAATCAAACAATCAAGTTATAATAGTCTTTATATAAATGTTATAGCACACACTGGGTAGTGTTGCATAATAAAGAAAATATTAGCGCGTCCAAGAACGTATTAAAATTCAAAGTCCATATATTGACGTTATCATGAATCTAGATTAAGGTCAGACTCGGTCGTGCAGCTTGCGTGTACAATTCTGTTTTGCCTATAACGTTTGAGAGTGCAGTCATTATTTCAGACACATTGCATTTGCCTACGAACTATAGACATCCCTCGCAAATGACTCGTTTATGTTTTAAAAGAACATAACCAAATCTATTTCAAACCAAAGGTATGCTTTCCTTAAAAAGATTTGGAACTGAGCACTAAAAATGAAAACAAACGGATGCACGCATTTATGGTTCTTCCTTCATAACACATGTATGAACCTCTTGTAATTTATTTTTGTTTTGTTATTTTTCTTTCTTTCTTTTCTTTCATTTCTATTCTGCTGTTTCCTTTTACAAAATTATAGAAATTAATTTTATGACTGAATTATGCAGAAAATAAAAAAAAATGCAAAGCCATTCAATTCAAAATGAAGTGAAAATCGATCAGGATACTCGTATTGAATCTGATATAATTTGAAAGAAGAGGCCAGGAACATATAAATAACTGTTAAATGCGAGACTACAAACAGAGTTTAGAGTATTTGCTGCATCCATAATACAGATTTTTACATCACATTTAAGTCTCCAGCAAAATGAAAATATCTCTTAAATGAATTAATGATACGCTTTCCATGTATATGCTCTAGTTTGTAGAAATACAACGATCTTTTAAGCAACATGAATAATATTTCAATGAAGAAAATCCAAAAATATTTCTGGTGATGATAAACAACTAAATAATCTTTTGATTCTCCGAATTTTAAATAGAGTTCAACATAAGGAAAGCCTTGTTATGATATTCTCTATTTCATTTATTTATTCTTTACAGACATTTTTCCTAACGATGTTTTACATTTTTCAAATGCATTTTAAATAAGTATTTACAAAATAAAAGATATTACAAATGAAGTAAAAGACGCTTGCTCCAGGTGCTCCAAGGTAAAACAACCAGAACAAGTCAGTTTGCAATTAAACTTATCAACTTTTTAAGTGAAATTGAAAGGAATCTGGATTCATTTTTTAACTTAAAGAATGCATTTTTAAGGATATTCAACTTTGTTTTTTTTTCTTTTCATAAGAGACGATATAGATTTACGTGACATAAATAAAAATGTACAAAAGCAATGATCAAGGTAGGATGAAACATTATTTTGACATATTGTAGAGTAATTTCCAAAGACATGGTGATAAACATCTGATACAATTTTGAAGGATTATAAAACCCCAAAAGAACATAATAGATTAAAATAATATTTCTAATTTTAAAACATGCTTTAACATTTTCTTCAGTATATGTCACGCATAGA